TTATGTCTATTTTTTACTTTTTTTTCATTTATGTACTGGAGCTGTGAATAAATTACTGAACATTTGCTGCCATCTGTTGAGCAGAGCTATGTTATAATCAGTTCAGTAATAAAATATCAGTACTTAACAACAAGATCAAAGGAAAATTGGACAATCCACTTGGTGTAGTTCTTTAGCAAAGATTTCCAGGGCTTTGTACCTCTCCAACTCTCTCCTTCCTCTCTGTCTATTTAGCAGTTGTGGGCAAAGTAGGAGATGACTTGCATAGTCCTGCAGTCATTTTCAGCAGTTGCCCTACTATAACTATTGCAAAAGCTGTTGAGAATACTGTTTTACAAATTTAAGATGACCTAAATGGCACTTCTGAGAACCCATAATACACATTTCCTATTAGATGGACCCCTTACGTGTCTTCCTCATTCTGGTCACGTTGAATGTTTGGATTAAGGTTTCGGGTGACATGACTTGTGTTACTTTAAGATTGTGATAGCCTTGGAAAATTGAGTTGTGGTTGAGGGAGGCATTTCCTCTACAATTCTGTGATGGTCAGCCACTTGGATTACACACCCACAAAAAAATCCAATGCATTCTTCTGTCTTAAGAAACTAAACAGCTGTCAGACACTACGTCAGCTCCTGAGGCATTTCATCTATGCGTACGTGTTCCTGTGACCGTGATTGTCTGCAGTGCCTTTAACAAACAAGCTGGGATTGTCCTGGGTCAAGGTAGAAAGAAGAGAACAAAAAAAAAAAAAAAAACGCCTAGCTAAACATGAACATTCAGTTTGGGTTTGGTCTTTATAAGGTGTATTGTCTCCACTCTTATCTCTTTTTTTTTACATTACATTTATCTCGCAAAAAGATAAAAATTCAAGAAAAGAAGATTCTTCTGAGAATAAATACTTCTTGACAACCTAGTGCTTACAGCTTCAAGTTATACATTTAGAACAGACTACTTTTGTTCAACAGAACTTGTGCATCAAGAAGACGTTTTGCAACCACAGTGCCGGTACATCTGGCGAAGACTGAATGTGAAGAATGTGATCTCTAAAACAGATGAAGTGATGGTTGAGTGGACAGAAGTATTCATAGTCTAAATATGCCAGCAAAGAGCAACACTCACAGAGAGAACATTTGGTCCAGATCACTGCACACAGTTGCAGAAACACATGCTTGATCGTAAACTTATTACTCACTTCGTCCACAAACAGCAGAAGGACATTCGCTACAATGGATTGAAGATTTGCATACAAACCACTCATTTGGTTCCGTCAATAGCGAAGAAAACACTCATCGGTCTGTCTTTTAATTTGTAGCTGTAAAGAATAAATATTGTGTGGAAAAACTACAGCTATAAAGCAAATATAAACTGCAAATGCATTTATTGGAATTTAGGATTCCAATTTGATCTAATAGAGTACGGACTCGTTTGTTTTCAATCATTACACTGATGTAAGAGCAAATAATCTATTCTAAGTGTAATTTGTTTTGTTAGGGTTTTGGATGCCCCAGTCACCTTTATTAAATGGCAGATACGACCTGAAGAAGGGCAGAGAAAGAATCTAACAATCTAACTGGGGGCAACTGCATTGAGGACTGTTGTGTGTTGTGTGGCACAGTTTTCAGTTTTCTTGCACAGATCATTAGATTTCATTGTTCTTTTTTTTGTAGAATCCATAATGCCACAAAATCCTTTGGAAGAAAAAAAAAATCACAGATTCTCCACTGAACTTAACATGTGATGTTATAAAATTTTTTATCCTTAATAACCCTAATTTAATCCCTCATTCATTTCAGCTTTAAGGTTAACGAAGACATTGGACATCCTGGAATTGTTTTGGACTCTGACTCAGCCACTGTTGATTATATTACCCAAACATCCAACTTCTTTTAACTCCTCAAGAATAAAACAAAGGTTTCAAATATGTCTCTCAAACTTTTAAAGGCTACTGCAGTATACAAGGAATGATTTGTAAGAATTAAACTACAAGATTATGATGCTCAGAGTTCACACAGAAGCACAAGAATCCGAATCACTTTTCAAGTCCCATAATAGTTCAGAGTAAGCTAATGGACTGCTTTCCCTCTGTACATTTCTGACCAGCTCACTGTGTAGAGCCCCATTGGTTCTCTCTGTTTATCAGGTGCAGACCTTTTAGCTGTTCCCAAAATTAGATCCAAGCCTTGTGAGGATGCGCTTACTTACCGAGGCCCTGTTCTCTGAAGCCAGCTTCCTGTAGACCTCAAATCAGAACAAAATGCGTATGAATTGGAAAACAAAGACAAAGCTTTTCTGTTCCCAGGAGCGCACAGGTGTGTTTTTCTTTCTGTGTTTATTTATATGTACTTTTAAACCTGAATGTTTATGCGTGTTTTCAGTTTCTGATAAAAGCCATGTTGGATTCTACGTATGCACATTGTGCAGACATTCCAAGCAACCTAAACGTTTCATTTGCTGAATTATCAGAATGCCATACTGTAAACATTTTTAGATAGCATAGAATACCTTTTCTCTTGTGTTTTTCCAAAAAAGTTGGTGAATGTTTTTTTTTTGTTTGTTTTTTTTTTGGTGCATAACTCAGTCTTTGTCCTGCTTTGCTTTCATCCTCATCATCTTCCTCCATCCTTTTTGCTGACCTTCTTCAGCTTTTTATGCTCCCTGCTGTGCCTCGCTGGCTGTGCCAGTGTTGTTCTCCCAGTGAGTTTGTATATCTGCCTCTTCTCTGCCACCATCTGTTTCTCTCCGTCTCGCTGCTTGCTGGTCTATTTCGTTCCTATTCCACTCTTTCTGTGTTCTTAATTCTCGCCACCTTTCCTTCTGTTTCGCTTTGGATTTCCTCTACATTTCTAACCATTTAGCTACCTTTCAATTTGTTGTTACAATCTCTTTATATCATCTTTTTAATACCATTTGATAGATCCCTTTGCAAGTGGGCATCTTTCAATCTATTCATCTACTTTTTTTCCTCCTTCGACTCTTCTCTGGAAACAACTTTGTTCATTCAAACCCTTCTGCTTTGTGTGTAAAGCCAGTTTAATTCATGTAAAGGCTTTAGTTTAGCTCCACACTAAAGCCCACCACAGAATCCGATTGATTTTCTCACATCTGACATTGGATATTCATTTTCTCTTTTTCTCTCTCTGCCTCTCTGTTCCATTGTTGTGTTTTGTGCTCGCAGTAGCTCTCCATCCTTTTGAAGAATTGAGTCGTCATGCATATTATAAAAGCGTGCGTGGAAAGGCATCTCCTGCTGTCACTAATGTATCCTTCAGACTGTAATTCCTGCCTTGGTTGCCTGTAGAAGTGCTTTAGAACAATAAGGGAGTCTCCCACATTCACTCCCACTCTGCCAACTCTTTTTTTTTTTTTTTTTGTCTTTGTGACACTCATAAAAAGTGGGTCAGTAGGATGTTTGGAATCCCTTAAACATTCACTGGCACCCACCCCTACTGCAGCTGATTAACAGCAGGGAGTTTGTGTCTTGTTTCTCCGTAACATCCACATCATTCCAAGACAACCAGATTAATTAGTCCCACAGAGTGTGTGTACGCTGTCGACAATCGCCTGACCTGTCTGTTACGGCGTGTGTGGGTGTTTCTCAAGTCGGCGTGGTTGCACATTTGATTTCTTTAAAGCTGATCTGGAGATTCTTTTTAAGTTGACAGGTGCTAGGTGAAGTGCAAGTGTAAAACCCATCAAAGAGAATGTTTAAGTGTTTGAACAGTAAATGATGTCTCTGTCTGTAAGAGCTGTGAATCTTGGCTGATCTCAGTCGATTAGATTGGGGTACTGATGTAATGACTGTCGGTCATCAGATGTATTTGCATCTTCTAATTATTACCCTTCCTATAAAACCAGGCAGTTTCTTACATAATGCAAAAAGACATGAGGCAACTTTCTTTTTCTCAAAATCCTCTATTAAGTCAGACTCCATTAACTCTATCCTTTTGCAGAATCATTCCTATTTGCTTCATACCAGGATATTGAGAGGAAAGAGTTTCTCCAAATTCAGAAGTTTGCTTCCACTAACACTGGTGTTTCAGCAATTTTTGGAAACCTGTTTGATGGTGACATCAGGAACACACCATTCTACTTTCTTACAATTTTAAAACTTTGCTTTAGGAACATCGTTGTCACGTTATTCCTCTGATCACATCTTGCTCTCACAGTTTGAGTACTGTCAGTAGCTCTGTGTTAATAATTTAAAATGTCACAAAACATATTTATCTTTAGTCCCTCCTGCATAAGCAGTGTTAGTCTGAAGAATGACAGATGAAACACTTTTTTAGAATATGACACTTTTCTGAGCTTCATTTCCTCCCACTGAAAAAAACCATCATCAACATTAGTATAATGTCATCTTTAATTTTAAGCAGTGCAGCATCAATACTTCTCTTTTGGTGTTTTGAACACAAATCTTCTTTGCTAGCCTTTTGTAGAAAATGGAAACAACATAACATACTAACTTTTTTGAACAAAAAAATCATCCTTATTCTTTAACTGCAACGTTGGCATTATGTTCCCTCACCTCATTGACTGATGTTAAATTATCTATAATCCCTCAAACCATTGCTGTCTGTATATAGATGTACAACAATCTTTCCTTATGCAAGACGTGCTGTGTCGTGATGAGAATAGGTTAATGCAGAAGATTTTTTTTTTTTTCCTCAAGGCTTTTTGCCTGAAATGTTTTTTTGAAAGAAGTGTTCAAATTCACACTTTATGGTGGTTAATAACAGCTTTGCAATTTGTGGCTCTCACTAGCAGACATACAGACACATCCTGAGCTTTCTCTACAAAGTCATTCTTCAATGTCTTGTTTTTTTCTTCTTCTTCTTCTTCTTAGGCGTAAGAAGAAGAAGATGATACCTTTGATGAACCTTTGATGATCAAAATATATATATTTTTTTATCATCAAAGGTTTAAAACATCACCTCAACAGTGTGAAAGTAGTTTCATTCACATGTTTAGTTTATCATTTGATGTTTTTTATTTTCCAGGGAGTGCTGAGTCCCTCAGTCCACGTTCGTCATTGTGGGATATAGTCTGAAAACCTCTCCATGGCCTTTGCTGCCTGCTGACAAACCAGGAAGTCTGGAGCAGTCGTGTTGAATGAGGTGAGAACGGCAACATTTGGCATTTTGAATCTTCAGCTACTTGTGTTCTTAAGCATTTCCTCTTCAGATATGGATACGTTAGCTGCAGGTCAAGTTGTGTCTCTGGCTATAAGACAAGGCTCACTGCTGAGTCATTGCAGACAAACTGCTGTCACGCTGCTGTTCCAGCCTAAAAGCTGTAAGTCTGACTGTCATGTTTAATCTGATGTTATTAGCTCTGACATCAAGGACTTTCCAGCCTTGTGTTCTGCATTGCCAGGAGCCCAGTTCTACTGATACACCCGTCAATCTGGCAACTGCACAGATGAATGTCAAGCAAAGTGAGTTTGAGATTTTAATGGAGTGGCACCTCATAATCTCAATTTTGTTTCTTTGCTAAAGCTTTGAACCACAGCACATTGCAAGTATAATTGAACTCTTATAGTAAGTGGCTTACTTGTCTAATCTTCATTATCTGTTATGCAGCATAATTAGTTGACCAAAACAACATGATACATCACTCATTCAGTCAGCTGCTCTTTGACGTTATGGAGATAGATAAGAAGGTCTCATTCAGATGCTCAAATTAAGCCAGTGGGACTGAGCTAATGAAGATAACAAGATTTATTTACTGCATTCGCTGTGATTGGAGGAGATAAATCTTTAGGTTAACTGAAACCGAGTTTGCTCAGAGACAATTAGCCTGAAAGATTCCATGAAACGCTAACTATAGAGACAATTTTATTCTCAATATACCTGGGAATCCACAAAGTACTATGAATTCTGCATTTGAACTGCTTACATTTATTATTTTTGAAGAAATGCTAATCTCAAGGGAAGACATTCTCACTCCTTGTCTCCGCTGAGACTTAAGATTGCAGGGTCAGTTGCAGAGTGTAGCAGCTTTGGAGCTGCTGGCGATTATCTAACAGACGTTTCAGCTGAGCACATGTGAGGTCAAGGATATGAACCCATGCTTTTTTCAAGTGAGTCATGCAGATCAACTTCAACAGCTATTTTAGTTAAGTTTAGTTAAAAAAAAAACACATATTTTTATAACTTTTGAAATGATCTATTTCTTTGCTTTATTATTTAATATTTTTGTGAATACAAAAATTCAATAGATTTTCAGAAAATGATGTCAACTGCTCCAGATTTTCCTTCTGAAAGAGGAGCTTTACATTAATTTGATTTTCTGTATTATTATTTTTTTGTTTATTTTCATACTTAACACTTGAAAAGCTGCTTTGTTAGTTGCTTTCAGTGGAAATTCAACATAAAGTTATCATGGAAAACATTCTGCACTGTTTGTTTTGTGCAATAGAAATAGTTTTTCCAACTCTGTGGGTAATCACTTACAATGACTAGAAATCTTTCCAAAATCAAGTTAACAATAAATTGTGCCAATCCAAAGAGACAACTGGGAGCCATAACTTTAGGATTTGTGGCTATTATTTTGTCCAGGTTAGACTTTCATAAAAGAGAGTCTCAAAGTTATGGAACAATCATTCGTTCTAATGGTTGCTCATTTGATCCGGCGCTTTTAATGTTGAAAAGACATTTTTTTTCCGGCCAACTCATTCCTGAAAAGTTAGTTATAAGAATGATTTGGTTTCTGTTCCATTGTGCTTCTTCTGTATCTAGTTTCTTGTATGTCAGCCTATTATTTTCTCAAAATGTTGCAACGTTTATGAGGACAATGCATCGGCGGGTTGAGCAGCACAGTTTATTATGTGGGCTGCACCCATAAAAAACTTGCAAAATTCCTTCTCTCATAGCTATGCTATTAACTCTTGTTCGATGCTGTCATAGACAAAAACAAAACATGTTAGCAATTCACGAATGTACACATTTAACAAACAAGGGCTGAGCATTGCGCAGAAAACTTTTATGCCATCACAACCACCTCATTCTATCCGTCAATTTGGCCAAACACTGATGTGGGATAGCATCCCATCCATTGTGTAAAGTTAGCCATTGTGATTGTATTGGTCGCTCTGACAAGAATAGCACATCCAAGCTGATCCTGCAAGTGACCAATGAGGCCGAGTTCAAAATTAATAACAGACCTTACATCCACATTCTGGAGAAATTCTTTGATAAACCCCTCTGGGTAGGTGTGACAAATGACATCCTGGTTCCTAAGAGTGGCCATAAGGGATTGCTGCTGGTCACAGAGTCTCATGTTGACATCGATCTGCTTTGACATGACCTCCGTTGATGGATCCCACACCATCACACTACCACCACCAAAAGCTGTTTGCCATTGACAGAGAACGTTTTGCAGAATTTTCATGGTGCAACTTACATACTCAGTCGCGGTACGCAACCCACAAGTGCATTTTTCTTACAGTCCTTTCACACGCTTTCCAATGGCGTAAGAAGAAGCTCTGCTGCCACAAAAATATATTACCTTTTTTTTTTTTGGTTCTAATTTTATTATTTTTCACTTTGACTGTGCTCCTTTAAGTGAGCAAGACTGTTCTTCACACTTCAAGCTGCTTTTTTTTCCCCTGCCGCTCAAACAGTAAGAAGTGCCTTTGAGAGAGAGAGAAAGAGAGTTAGTAGTATCCTTGGCCAGCCGGGGGAAGTCTTGGCTCCAAGGCGTATGGGAAAAGTGCTGCTGGCAAATCTTGAACTGAAGCATTCCATTATGCTGTCCTCTTGAAACACACGCAACACAACCCTACTTTTTTTTTTTTTTTTCACTTAAGAGGTCATCATGTTTGCTTATTTGTGCTGAACCGCAATCTGTACATTTTCTCATCAAAGTGATCATTTTACCATGCCATTTTTATATTGTATAACTGTTCAAACAACAAACACTTCAGCGTTCTTTATGTCTCCTTGTCTCTCTCAATAAATTCCATACATGTGAATAAGTACACACACAAACACACACACGCGCACACCCACACACACACTAACGGGAGAAAGTGCCTTGTGCAAAGAGGGAGCTGTTGTAGTACTATATTATGCCTTGAGGCCCAAAGCCAGGGTTTAACCATCACTCACTCACACAGCATTCAGCACAATATCCTCGAATCAATATCCTAAGCAGCAGGAGGCTGTCTGCATGAGTTGTATTAGCTAATAGACCTCTCCTGTCTGTCTTTCTTTAGGCTGTCTGTCTCTTTCTTGCTACTACACAATGACATCATCATTGGCTTAATTTACTTGTGACTTTATCCTGATTCTACCCCTCTGTCCTCTTTTCTGTACACTTCTCACCTCTTTTTTTCCTTCTCTTTCACCTCAATGTCTAAAACAGTGGACAGCAGTAGAGCTCACTGGTCATTCTGATTTAGATGTTCACATGCATTTCCTTAGTATTTAGTAGAAATGCATTTAATCTATGTGAATTGGATTGAGTTTGGAGTATCATCATAGACATTTGTTGAAATTTTGGCTCCATGTTTGCAGAACAGGTGCTGCTGAGTCTAGTTTGTTTTTAGCTCTTGGACAAATTGTTAATGTCTTAATGTTGTCTTTCAGGTAAAGTTGTTTGACAATCAGAAGTCATCTGTGTCTGTGACCCTTTCTGACATTTCCATAATACATGATATGTTTAAAACAAACCATTTCACATTCTCTCCAACGTGCAAGCTTCTGGTTGTAGAATTTAGTCCTAATTTGAGGGACGATAAAAAAACCCGTTTTTAACACTTTTCCATGAAAATGCTCTTCTTCTTTCTGAGGTGGTAGATTTTTGATTGTTTTACAGCCTCACTGGATATTTCATTATTTAGTTGTGTTCCATTATATGTTTAGTTGCATGCGTATCATTCACAATGATGATCTGTCATTTATGTTTTATTGGTTGCATTTATTATGAAAAACTCCTGGAGAAGGATATGCTCCTGATTATTTTTATTAGATCCTGTTTTCTGAGCCAGACAGACGTATCTCTAATTTGAAAATTAAGGGGAAAAAAGTGGACATATTGACTAGTTTAACAGATAAACTCTGAAGGTAGGAACGGGGGATGTAATCTATCAAATCTGACATTTGCAGTGCGCCTGCAAGCCTGAATGCTTAATTGAGCCATTAGAGATCAACTACTTTGTGCAAAAATCTAATTTTGGAATGCCCAACGCAGATTGATATAGTTCCAGTTTGGAATAAATTATTTCTGTTTTTCTTTGCAAAAGCTATGTTTTGGAGAAATCCCTTCTTCTTTCTACCTGAACTGAGAGAGCTGGTCAGCTTAAAAAAAAAGCAACAACACACATGTACCACGTACATGAGTTTGAGTTGTGTTCATCATGCAGCATTTTGTTCTGTATCGTGTGTGGCTGTTGTGCGGGGTTTGAAATTTGCTTGGATGACGGTTGCATGCTCTCTAGAGTTGGCCTTAAAGTAATATGTACCTTGCCGATGTTGACGACTGCTGGCTGTGCTTTCTGAGAGCTGAGTGCTTGAACAAACATGTTCTGCCTGTCTTCTGCTTTTGTCAATGTGACTTTGAAAACGTAGAGAACGTTATTCACACTCAAGGACACGTGCTGAGAAGTCACTCAGCTCTCCTTCATCCATACAATACATGCTGCCATGCCTGTTCATGCCACTTACTGCCAGTTTGTCTGCCCATCTCTGTTACTTGCTGTGGAGTTCATCTTAAGCAAATGGCGTATGCTTGCATTAGACACGGATGGCTGCAAAAGCAATGTGTGCTCTTGTTCCGTCCTTCTGTCAGAAAAGGAAAAAAAATAAACAGTGTACATGATGACAAGCTATACCAGCAGCTTTAGTGTGCGGCAGTGTGTCTGTGTTAAAATTTGTCACCTGAGCTGTTATGTTTAGTACTGTGTTCCTCGCAAACCTCCAGAGTCACCCATCTCACACCTGTCAACCTGTCTGCAAACCGATTCGGTTCTGAAATGATCTGACTCATCATCTGAGCCGGGTTACCTCCGGAAGATAGAATACATCCAGCAAGCTCTATTGACCACCAGAACGCTTAGAGAGGGAAAAGACTCAATCTGCTGTTATATAAGTCTAATGATCTTGACACAGTCAATAATGAGGTCTACGTGGTTAAGTAATTATTAACTGAATTAAACAGAAAATGGGTCCAACAATCCTGGCGTTCTAGCCCCTACAAACATTTTGCATGCGAGGTTGTTTGTATTTTTATCAGTGTAGACTGGGAGTCTGCGTGGCATGTCATGGGAACAGGGGATGTTGATATCGGGTCAATGGTGCAACATTTTTGTAGAAGATCTTTGTGAATTTTAAAGCAGTGGCGTTTGTTTGTAGTATATCATGCCTCCAAGTTGTAAACTTCATGCAACAGATTTATATTATACACGTCCAAAACATGTTGGCCCGCCTGAGCTCA